AGGCTGAAGCAGGCTGAGGCTGAGGCAGAGGCAGGCTGAGGCTGAGGCTGAGGCTGAGGCAGGCTGATGCTGAGGCAGGCTGAGGCTGAGGCTGAGGCTGATGCAGGCTGAGGCTGAGGCAGGCTGAGGCTGAGGCCGAGCCTGAAGGCAGACTGAGGCTGAGGCTGAAGCAGGCTGAGGCTGAGGCTGAGGCAGGCTGAGGCTGAGGCAGGCTGAGGCTGAGGCTGAGGCAGGCTGAGGCTGAGTCTGTGACTGCGACTGCCGTTGCCACTGCGACTGTCATCGCGAATGCGACTACGACTGCGAGAACAGCAGAATTCTACAACTGGATTCTCATCCGAATCTTAAGGGGAATGCTTCCAGATATGCTCCTACACATCGATGTTAGGTTGCTTTGCCGGGATAATCTAATATTTGCGCCTGCTGCGCTGCACGTATGGCAGTGGGAAAAGCCACCGAAGCTGGGGCCATGTAGAAGCGGCCGGGGGAGAAGTGCATCTCCCCCACTTGAAGTTCAAGAACTGCAGGGAGAAACGCCTGGCACTACCTTGATCCACCTGATCCACCTGCAACTCGGCGGGCTGGCGGGGGCTTGCGGGGATGCGTCGGTCGGAACGCCTGGACCGCCCCACCGACGCGCTTGACGCGGCGACGGGGAGGAACGATCTATGAGGCGACGGAAGATTCGGGGAAACGTAAGACTCGGGTTCGCCGGAATCCGTGCTCGCTGTCATTACCTAACATCGAAGACTGATAGGTTTCTAATGGGCTAAAAAGAGAGCAGCGCATTACTTCAACATTACTTCAACATTACTCCACAGGGGGGTCTGGGCAGCCGTTGGGGGCAGTTGGGTGGCAGTTGGGGGGCTGTTGGGGTTTGCCGGCGGGGATCGTTTTTCGCATACAGTCACACACTTCGTGCTTTTCGATTTCCCAGAACTCCATTCCCGGGCCACATTTTGGAAGCCCGGAGCTAACTGTAGGCCACTTCGTGCTCTTCGATTTCCCAGAACTCCATTCCCGGGCCACATTTTGGATGCCCGGAGCCAACTGTAGGCCACTTCGTGCTCTTCGATTTCCCAGAACTCCATTCCCGGGCCACATTTTGAATGCCCAGAGCCAACTGAGGCCACTTCGTGCTCTTCGATTTCCCAGAACTCCATTCCCGGGCCACATTTTGGATGCCCGGAGCCAACTGTAGGCCACTTCGTGCTCTTCGAGTTCCCAGAACTCCATTCCCGGGCCACATTTTGAATGCCCCGAGCCAACTGTAGGCCACTTCGTGATCTTCGAGTTCCCAGAACTCCATTCCTGGGCATGATTTTGAATGCCCGGAGCCAACTGTAGGCCGCTTCGTGTTCTTCGAGTTCCCAGAACTCCATTCCCGGGCCACATTTTGAATGCTGAGGCAGGCTGATGCTGAGGCTGAGGCAGGCTGAGGCTGAAGCAGACTGAGGCTGAGGCAGAGGCTGAAGGCAGACTGAGGCTGAGGCTGAAGCAGGCCGAGGCTGAGGCTGATGCAGGCTGAGGCTGAGGCTGAGGCAGGCTGATGCTGAGGCTGAGGCTGAGGCTGAGGCTGAGGCTGATGCAGGCTGAGGCTGAGGCAGGCTGAGGCTGAGGCCGAGGCTGAAGGCAGACTGAGGCTGAGGCTGAAGCAGGCTGAGGCTGAGGCTGAGGCCGGCTGAGGCTGAGGCAGGCTGAGGCTGAGGCTGAGGCAGGCTGAGGCTGATAGCAGCCTGAGGCTGAGGCTTGAGCTGAGGCTGATGCGTTTGTCAGCTGCTGCCCTTTTGGCCAAATCGGCTAGGCGAGGCTCGGAGGCTGAAGGCAGGCTGAGGCTGAGGCTGAAGCAGGCTGAGGCTGGAGGCTGAGGCAGGCTGAGGCTGAGGCTGAGGCAGGCTGATTGCTGAGGCAGGCTGAGGCTGATGCTGAGGCTGATGCAGGCTGAGGCTGAGGCAAGCTGCGGCTGAGGCAGGCTGATGCTGAGGCTGATGCAGGCTGAGGCTGAGGCAGGCTGAGGCTGAGGCTGAGGCAGGCTGAGGCTGAGGCTGAGGCCGAGGCAGGCTGAGGCTGAGGCCGAGGCAAGCCGAGGCAGTCTGAGGCTGAGGCTGAGGCTGATGCTGAGGCAGGCTGAGGCTGAGACAGGCTGAGGCTGAGGCTGAGGCAGGCTGAGGCTGAGGCTGAAGCAGGCTGATGCTGAGGCCAAGGCAGGCTGAGGCTGAGGCTAGGCAGGCTGAGGCTGAGGCCAGGCTGAGGCTGAGGCTGAAGGCTTCATGCAGGCTGAGGCTGAGGCAGGCGGAGGCTGAGGCCGAGGGCTTGAAGGCAGATGAGGCTGAGGCTGAATCAGGCTGAGTGCTGAGGCTGAGGCAAGGCGGAGGCTGGAGCCTGATGCAGGCTGTAGGCTGAGGCGGCTGAGCTAAGGCTGAGGCAGGCCTGGGGCTGAGGCGCGCAGCTGAGGCTGAGGGCGGAAGGCTGAAGGCAGACTGATGCTGAGGCTGAAGCAGGCCTGAGGCTGGGGGGTGGGGGGGCTGAGGCAGGCTGAGGCTGATGCTGTCGCAGCTGAGGCTGAGGCAAGGCGGATGCCTGAGGCCGATGACTGCAGCAGACTGAGGCCTGAGGCTGAACCAGGCTGAGGCTAGCATGGGCAGGCTAGTCCTGAGGCTGAGGCTGAGGCAGGCTGATGCTGAGGCAGGCTGAGGCTGAGGCTGAGGCTGATGCAGGCTGAGGCTGAGGCAGGCGGATGCTGAGGCCGAGGCTGAAGGCAGACTGAGGCTGAGGCTGAAGCAGGCTGAGGCTGAGGCTGAGGCAGGCTGAGGCTGAGGCTGAGGCAGGCTGATGCTGAGGCAGGCTGAGGCTGAGGCTGAGGCTGATGCAGGCTAGGCTGAGGCAGGCTGAGGCTGAGGCCGAGGCTGAAGGCAGACTGAGGCTGAGGCTGAAGCAGGCTGAGGCTGAGGCTGAGGCAGGCTGAGGCTGAGGCTGAGGCTGAGGCTGAGGCTGTGACTGCGACTGCCGTTGCCGCTGCGACTGTCATCGCGAATGCGACTACGACTGCGAGAACAGCAGAATTCTACAACTGGATTCTCATCCGAATCTTAAGGGGAATGCTTCCAGATGTGCTCCTACACATCGATGTTAGGTTGCGTTGCCGGGATAATTTTTTGACAGGCACACTTTGAATTCTTTACGCTTCGCGTATCCCCACCAGCCCATCTCAAAACAGCAACTCTTGCGAAGCATGCCGACAGTCGTGTTTGTCAGGCGTGTTTCCGCTTGCCCCCGCATATCTCCCCTGTTCCTCCTTCTTCCCGCCTCCTTGTACATCCTCCTTGTGGTGGGAGCGGGAGAAGGACGAGGCGGAGGAGGAGGGAGAGAAAGCGCTCCTCGTGGTTTGAGTCGTTTGGGGTTTCTCGTCCTGGTGTGAGTCGTTCGGGCCCTTCTTCCTGGTGTGAGTCGTTCGGGCTCTTCGTGGTGTGAGTCGTTCGGGCTCTTCGTCCTGGTGTGAGTCGTTCGGGCTTCTCGTGGTGTGAGTTGTTCGGGCCCCTCGTCCTGGTGTGGGTCGTTCGGGCCCCTCCTCCTGGTGTGACTCGTTCGGGCTCCTCGTGGTGTGAGTCGTTCGGGGCCCTCGTCGTGGTGTGAGTCGTTCGGGCTCCTCGTGGTGTGAGTCGTTCGGGCGCCTCGTCCTGGTGTGAGTCGTTCGGGCCCCTCCTTCTGGTGTGAGTCGTTCGGGCTCTTCGTGGTGTGAGTCGTTCGGGCCCCTCGTCCTGGTGTGAGTCGTTCGGGCTCCTCGTGGCGTGAGGCGTTCGGGCACCTCGTCCCCTTTGGGGCGTCTTGGGGGCCTCTTGGCGGCCCCAGGGGCTTCTAGGAGCGTCTTGGGTGCCTTGGGGGAGCCTCTTCGGGCCTCTTGGGAGCCTCTTGGAGGCCGTTTGGGGCGTCTTGGGGGCCTCTTGGCGGCCCCAGGGGCTTCCAGGAGCGTCTTGGGTGCCTCGGGGGAGCCTCTTGGGGCCTCTTGGGGACCTCTTGGGGGCATCTTGGGGGCCTCTTGGAGGCCTCTTGGGGGCCTCCTGGGGGCCTCTTGGGGCCATCTTGGGGCCTCTTGGTGCCTCCTGGGCGCTTCTTGGGGCCATCGTGGAGGGGATGGATCAAAGAAGAGGGGAGCTTCAATGAGCGCTGCCCCCTCAGAAGGGCAAAATGAGCCCAAACCCTTCGTAAAATCAATGATTTTGCCTTGAAGGAAGAGGGGAGCTGTAATGAGCGCTGCCCCCTCAGAAGGCCAACATGGGGCCAAAACCGTAGTAAAATCAATGATTTTGGCTTCAAAGAAGAGGAGAGCATTTTTTCGGGTCCCCCCCGTCGGGGCCAGAATCCTCGTGAGGGGTGTCGTTTTTTAGCCCTCCCAGGAGTCGAAAAGGACCCCCCTGACCACCCGCGAAAGGACCTCTCCAGGCCCAGGGGAAGGGGGTAGGGGGAGGGGTAAACCCCTCCCCGAAGGGGAAGGAGGGTTGAGAACAGAGCGGGCTCTCTAAACCACTCACGCCCAAAGGGCTGGTGGGATTTGATGGTCCAGAATTCGTTGGATGTTTGCAACGGGAGGTCGCGACTAACATTCAGATTGGGTTCCGTCAGTTTCTTGACACGGCCCCGGCAGGTCAACCCGAGCCCGCAGAAACCGACTTTACGCCACCCCGAAAGATGGATGGAGAATGACGGAGGAGAGGTTGGAGGGGGAAGACGCGGAGGAGGAGGAGGAAAAGCAGGAGGAGAAGGGAGGACGGGAGGAGACCGAGGATGAGGAGGTGGAGCATTTCGGCGAGACGGAGGAGGAGGAGGAGGAGGAGGAGGAGGAGGAGGAGGAGGAGGAGGAGGGGGAGGAAGAGGAGAAGGAGGAGGAGGAGGAGGGATGCGGGAGGAGGAGGAGGAGGAGGGGGAGGAGAAATTATAGTAGGAGAAAGGAGAACAGGGAGGGGTGGGAGGAGGCAGAGGGGCATGAGGTGGGCACCTGAAAGGTGCACAGGCACGCCACGGCGAGCGATCCCCTGGAGCTCTGGCTGTGCGACACCATGGTCACTTGCTGAGTGAACGGCTTTGCTCGTGGTTCCGGGCTGTGTCTCCTGCCCTTCCAGAGCATCATCGTCGTCGTCGTCGTCGTCGTCATCGTCGTCATCGTCGTCGTCATCGTCGTTTTCGCCGCTTTCCCACCCCTTCCCCATCCCCCCCTGTACCCCCCCCCATTGCTTCCCGCATCTTCACGAGTCGTTCTCTCCCCCCCTCCCCTGCCCGCCCCCTCCCCCAAGGAGGAGGAGGAGGAGGAGGAGAAGGAGGAGGAAGAGGAGGAAGAGGAGGAGGAGGAGGAGGAGGAAGAAGAAGAAGAAGAGGAGGAGGAGGAGGAGGAGGAGGAGGAGCCCTCCCACGCCCTCCCCACGGCTCCCCGCCCCCTTCACGCCCCTGTTTCTGCTCTCGGCCCCCTCCCCCTCCCGCGTTTCTCCCTGCCCCTATTCACGGCCCCCCTTCGCCTGCCCATCCTGCTCGCGCCTCGTGGCCTTCGTCGCCGTCGTCGCGCCCCTCGCGCGCCACCCCGCTCGTCCGTCCAGCGACCACTGCTCCCCGCACGCTCACGACCCGTCCTGCTCGTGCCCCTCCCCATCCCGCCCTCTCCCCTGCCACTCCTCTTCTCCCTCGCCGCCTGCCCATCCACGATGCCCTCCCCCCCCTGCGGACCTGCGGACGTGCGGACGGTGCCCCTGGAGCCTGCGACTGGCCCCGGCAGCCGCGCGCCTCGGTGGGTCTGCCTCCGCCTGCGCCCGTGGACGGCATCCCCGCGGCTGGCGCCTGCCGCCGGATGCCGCAGTGGGTCCGAGCTCCTGGCCTCTTCTCCGTGGACCCAGCGCCGGGGGCCCGTCGGGGCCGCCGGCGCTGACCGGCGAGAGGGGCGCGTGCCGCCCGTTCTGACTGAGCACTCCGAGCGCAGCGGCGTTTTTCCACTCGGAGCGCCCGGCCAGCGCGACCCCCGCAGGCAGAAGTTCTTCGTTGTCCTCTTCATCTTCCCCGATCTCCTACTGATGCTTGGCCCTTGCCCCCCCCCCTTCAGCACCGAGCAACAATAGTATATAGCAATCAAGCAGGTGGCACATAAGCATCCTCCCCGTCCTCATCGTCGCTCTTCCTTCCACGCTTCCTCCTGCTTCCCTCCGACTTTCTCCATCAAGCATCCCCACTGCACCCTACTCCACATGCTCCTACTCGTCCTTCGCCTCGCCATCCTCATCATCTTCACCTTGCCCTTCTCTACCCTTGCTTCCTCGAGTTGGAGGAGGAGGGAAAGGAGGAGGAGGAGGAGGACGAGGAGGAGGAGGAGGAGGAGGAGGAGGAGGAGGAGGAGGAGGAGTTGGAGGAGGAGGAGGAGGAGGAGGAGAAGGAGGAGGAGGAGGAGGAGGAGGAGGAGGATATGCAATAATGAAGAGAAGACGTGCCGGGGGGATATGAGGCGCGGGAGGGGAAGGCGCGGGCGGGGGAGACGAGTCGCGGGGGGCGGGGAGGCGGAGCTGGCGCCCAGTTCTGCTGGACCTCCGAGGTTGTAATCGGCGACGACGGAGGGTGGCAGTGGCCCCACTGGCATTAAGTCGGGCCTGTCCCCCTACAGGGGGGTTTTCGACGAAAAATAGGAAATACCCTAAACATAATCATCATCATCATCATCATCATCATCATCATCATCATCATCATCATCATCATCATCATCATCATCATCATCATCATCATCATCATCATCATCATCATAATACCGCCAAAAATAGTCTGGGGGCTATGTTTTGAGTATTTGTCGGCCTTTTTGGCGCATTTTAGGGGTATTTTGTTTTATTTTTCGTCGGGAATCCCCCTGTAAGGGGACACGCCCGACATAACACTGGCAGCACTCGGCGGAGGCGAGGTCGAGCACAGCCGGGGCGCCCAGGGCCGGGGCCACATCCGCGGGCCGAGGCGGTGCCGCGTGGTCCTCGGGCCGTGCCCTGGAGGTCCGGCCTGGGGGCCCCCTCGCGGCCCAGGCTCGCCGCGGACGGGGCCCTACCGTCGCGGCTTCTTCGGCGCTCGTCTGGGGAGAAGATTTGGTTTAAAATTATTTTGGTTATGTTTGGCTCTTTGTTGGCTATGTTTGGCTATTTTTGGTTTATTTTTGTTGGCTATGTTGAGTCATGTTTGACTGTTTTTGGTGATTTTTTGACCATGCCATACTTCGGGGGCCACGTGCGAACGCTACCCCTGCCCTCCGCGAGTTCTGAGGGGGAGGGTGGGGTTCGCTCCGTTCGAAAGAGCGCGTTCTGTGGTCGCTTGGAGGGGGCGGGGGTTTGAAACCGGACCCCTCCCCCCATCCCCCCCCTCCCGTGACGGAGGGGGGGGGGGGGGTTCGAACCCTCCCCTCTCCTCCTCTGCTTCCCCTGCCCTCGGGCTGGCGCTTGCGTCGGCGGCGGCTGGCGGCAGCTGCGGGGACGACGATTTCTTTTTCTGGAC